ATGAAAGCTGGCTGGGTGACTTTGGCCAATCACCGGGAGACGGTGAATTCTAGTCATGATCTAGGCCTTATAGCTGGTTGACTTTGAGCCAGTCCCTCACTCTCAGTTCTAAGAAGGAGGCAATGGCAAATCACTTCTGAGAAATCTTGTCATGAAAATGGTCGGAATGTATCTTTGAAGTGACCTGTAGATTTGAAGGCGCAGAAAAACAATAACAACAACATTATCACAAGATGAGTCAAGAATGTAATCTATTTTTTTTAAATCATCTAACATTGTCTTACAGACTTCAAAAGTTGAACTCCACGGTTCACCCTTAAGCTGCATATACTCTCTTTCATGAATGGCATCTTAATTGTGGATATCAATCAATTATTGTGTTTGAACATCTACGCCACACTGCCACAGAGCCTGCCTTGGCCGCCAGGGACACGGCTTTCCGTTAGAAAGCCTTCTCATGAAATTTCTGTAATTCAAGCTGGGTATTAAATGCTTCCTCAAAAACATATTAAAAAGACAGAATGTACTGAGAGCTGACCACCTGAAACGATCAGGATGCTGATGGTGTCCAGATCTGGTTGGAATAGAGGGTAGTTGCAATGTTCTTCTTTGCTAAGCAGTGTTTTTGTATGGCAAAAATACAAAAAAGGAGAATTTTTTATCGCTCAGGGTCCTTGGTGCTCTCTGAGCTTGGTTGTTTTCATGACCCAATTAGATAACATCATCAGAGCTAGAAGGGGGGAGGAAGAGGAGGAGGAAGAGGAGGAAGAGGAGGAGGAGGATAGAGAATTTGAATAGCTTAGGGGTTCTTAGTGCTCTCTGAGGTTGGTTGTTTTCATTACCCAATTAGAATGATAACATCATCAGAGCTAGAAGGGAGGAGGAGGAGGAAGAGGAGGAGGAGGAGGAGGAGGAGGAGGACAGAGAATTTGTATAGCTTAGGGGTTCTTAGTGCTCTCTGAGCTTGGTTGTTTTCATTACCCAATTAGAATGATAACATCATCAGAGCTAGAAGCGAGGAGGAGGAGGAGGAGGAGGAGGAGGAGGAGGACAGAGAATTTGTATAGCTTAGGGGTTCTTAGTGCTCTCTGAGCTTGGTTGTTTTCTTGCAGACATTTTGTGACCCAACTAGGTAACATCATCAGTGCTAGAAGGCACTGGGGTTTGCAGAAAGGAGGGGGAGGAGGAGGGAGGAGGAGGAGGAGGAGGACAGAGAATTTGTATAGCTTAGGGGTTCTTTTTTTTTATTCAAATTTTTATTGATTTTCAAATAAACAAGTTACAAATATGGTATACATTAATAAACAAGAAAAAAAAATCCATATTAAATATCTATTCCGAGATGCTCAGCAGCCCCCCCCCCCGCCTGCGTCCACCCTCTCTTTCACCCTTCCTACCTACTTCCCTCCTCTCTCTTCTCCTACCTACACCTCTCTCCTCCTTCCTCCTCTCAACTACCGCTTAGGGGTTCTTAGTGTTCTCTGAGCTTGGTTGTTTTCTCGCAGACATTTTGTGACCCAACTGGGTAACATCATCAGTGCTGGAAGGCACTGGGGTTTGCAGAAAGGAGGAGGAGGAGGAGGACAGAGAATTTGTATAGTTTAGGGCAGTAATGGCGAACCTTTTAGAGACCGAGTGCCCAAACTGCAACCCAAAACCCACTTATTTATCGTCGGGTGCCAGGTGGGTGTGGCCCACTGGGTGGGCGTGGCTGTGGTGATCATGGCAGATTGAGTGGGTGTGGCCAAGGTGGGTATGACCATCTCGATGTTGCTCATGGGGAGGGACATCTGTGGGGGCCGGGCAGGGTTGGGGGAGATCCAGGGGGTCTCTGGCAGGTGGGGCGGTGGGCAGGAGGCTCGTCCTGCGTGGTGAGGCGAGGCAAGGCAAGGCGGGGGTGCCATTGTCACCGGGAAAAGTGAGGCAGGGGCCGGGGCAGCTGCTGCCTGACACCATCGGCCCCTGCACACAGAGGCCAGTGAGCACATGGGTGCTAGGATGCATCTGGCCATATGGGACCTCGGCGAGTTAGCGGGCGGCTGGTTGAAGAGGGATGGTTGCCATCTCCGGGGCATGGCACGCGTGCCCACAGAGAGAGCTCTGAGTGCCGCCTCTGGCACACGTGCCATAGGTTCGCCACCACTGGCTTAGGGGTTCTTAGTGCTGTCTGAGCTTAGTTGTTTTCTTGCAGACATTTTGTGACCCAACTAGGTAACATCATCAGTCTAGTGACGATGATGCTATCTATTTGGGGCCATGGAACATCTGCAAGAAAACAGCCAAGCTCAGAGAGCGCCAAGGACCCCTCAAAATACAAAAAAAATCCCAAAGAAGTTCAGTCTATTTCCAGGCAGTCAATCCCGAAGCAGATCGGAATGGTCAAAGACACTCATGGGCTTCCTGGTGCATTGAGGGTCCTCCGTGTTTGCTGCTCACCGGCTGTCTGGTTCTTGTTCTAGGATGAAGAGGCGGGTGTCGAAGTGGGCGAGGGCGCTGACGAATGGTCCCAGGCCAAGACCTTAATCAAGCCCCCAGACCAGCTGGACCTGACAGATGCAGTAAGTAAATTCGGGTTAGAGACTGAGAGCCAACACAACGAATAAGGGCGAGGAGAAGAGACTGGACAGCCATTTGTCTGAAATGGCATAGGGCAGGGGTCTTCAAACTTGACCCTTTTATGACTTGTGGACTTCAACTCCCAGAATTCCTCAGCCAGGCACGCCTGGCTGAGGAATTCTGGGAGTTGAAGTCCACAAGTCATAAAAGGGCCAAGTTTGAAGACCCCTGCATAGGGTCTCCTGCTTGAGCAAGGGGTTGGACTAGAAGCCTCTGATTCTGAACTTGTCAGTGCTGGCTGCCTTATGACTCATTATATTACTCCTTATGGAAAAAAATTGTTTGGCATTCATCGTTTTTGATGCTCATCACACCTATGGAGATGCAGCCATTTTTTTAATATTTTAGAACAGTGTTTCTCAACCTTGACAATTTTAAGGCAACCTTGACAATTTTAAGGCATGCGGACTTCAACTCCCAGAATTCCACAGCCAGCATTGCTGGCTGTGGAATTCTGGGAGTTGAAGTCCACATGCCTTAAAATTGTCAAGGTTGAGAAACACTGTTTTAGAATTAGAGTTAGAATTAGATGATACTGGGGGGGGAGGAATGTGCATGGGAGTTTAGTTAGACATAACAATACTGTAACTAGTGTGAGAACCAAGGTTATTGAAATAAGAGATGATAAGAATTGGTGGGTTGGAGAACTGGAGGGAAACCTGCATTTCAAACTAGTTGGAGAATGTGATTTATGACTGTTAATTAGAGGAGGGAATTGTGCTTTGATACTATATGCTCAGGGGAGGGGAATTTAGATTTTGGCTTTGCCTATGTACCTGCCGATGCTACGCTCAAATAAAGGTTCTTTAAGGTAAACAATGCCTCGGAAGTTCTTTGAAGAGTTTCATCTGTCGGAACCATGACATTAAGCCAAAATCTGAATTCCCCTCCTCTGAGCACATAGTATCAAAGCACAATTCCCTCCTCTAAATCACAGTCTTCAATTAGTTTGAGGACTACCTGTATTGACTTACAGTTCAGATTTTCAGCAAATACAGAAACTCAGGGCAACTGTTTTTAACATTTAAAATACCTCATTTCGAAAAATCTGTACCGTAATTCCCACCAAAGCTCAATATAAAAAAAACGCCCTACGCATTTCTTTAATGTGTTCTGTTTATGTTCTGTTTATGCATCGTTACTCATTGTGTGGAATTCTGTGCTGAGATCGCTCTTTTCTGCGGCAGGAACTGAAAGAGGAAATAACCCGCATCCTGACAGCCAACAACCCACATGCTCCACAGAATATTGTCAGATACAGTTTTAAAGTAAGTGTTTCTCCCTCCGCTGACCTCCATTTTGCAACGTGGACCACTGATTCTCTCAAGTAGGGCAGACCCGAACCAATTAATGTAAAATGGGACTATGTAGAGACTGTCTTTTCTACATGATGGGTTTTTGTTTGTGGGGGAAATCTTTCAAAGGGCACGCTTTGAAAATCACCACTATTTCTGGCCACTGACCATTTTTGCAGAAGGTGAGAGGGACCTCGGAGTCCTAGTGGACAATCACTTAAATAGGAGCCAGCCATGTGCTGCAGCTGGCAAAAAAGCCAACACAGTGCTAGGCTGCATTAACAGAGGGATAGAATCCAGATCACGCGAAGTATTAATACTACTTTACAATGCCTTGGTAAGGCCACACTTGGAATACTGCATCCAGTTTTGGTCACCACGATGTAAAAAAGATGCTGAGACTCTAGGAAGAGTACAGAGAAGAGCAACAAAGATGATTAGGGGACTGGAGGCTAAAACATATAAGGAACGGTTGCTGGAATCGGGTATGTCTAGTTTAACGAAGAGAAGGACGAGGGGGGACATGAGAGCCGTGTTCCAATATCTCAGGGGCTGCCCCAAAGAAGAGGGAGTCAAGCTATTCTCCAAAGCGCCGGAAGGCAGGACAAGAAGCAATGGATAGAAACTAACCAAAGAGAGAAGCAACCTAGAACTAAGGAGAAACTTCCTGACAGTTAGAACAATTAACCAGTGGAACAACCTGCCTCCAGAAGCAATGAATGCTCCAACACTGGAGGTTTTTAAGAAGAGACTGGAAAGCCATTTGTCCGAAATGGTATAGGGTTACCTGCCTGAGCAGGGGGTTGGACTTGATGACCTCCAAGGTCCCTTCCAACTTTATTATTATTATTATTATTATTATTATTATTATTATTATTATTATTATTATTATTATTATTATTATTATTATTAGGAAGGGTATAGTTTTCTGTCCTTCCTGGATTTCCTGGAAAGAGAAAACAGCAAAAGAAACAGAATTGCTGGCCCTACCTTATGAGGGTGGAATGGGTCAACTCACCGTTGCTGGGTCGCCACGACCTGCTTACCGCCACCGGTTTGCCACCCCCAGATCTCCACCACTGGGTTGCCCCTGCCCGCTCATCCTAGCCAACTTGCTGCATCTGGATTGTCACTGCCAGCTTGCTAATGCCAGCTTGCCCTGAGTGACTTGCCCAGAGTGTTCCCCCCCCCCCGGGATGACTCGCCCTGGGCAGATAAGCAGGGATTAACTCTAGACAAACAATCAGGCAGAAAACAATACCCTAATCAAGAAATCAGTAAGAAAAAATCCACAGTCCCACCCAGTGCTTTTTTTCTAAAAAAAAAAAAAGGTGCCGGAACTCACACACTTCATACAACCCGCCTTGCCTACCCTACAAGGCTCCATCCAAAAAAGGTGCCGGAACTCCGTTCTGGGCCTTCTATGAGAAAAAAAGCTCTGCTCCCACCAATATTGGCAGGGCAATAACAGAATAAGAGCAAACCTCACTCCCTGATGATGTTACCCAGTTGGGTCATGAAACATCTGCAATATCACAGAGCATCAAAAACCCCACAGTCCTCCTCCTCCTCCTCCTCCTCCTCCTCCCTCCTTAGTTTATCTCTGACCCTTTCTCATTAGCAATGGGGGAAGAGACAGTGTTTGTGTGTGTGTGTGTGTGTGTGTGTGTTTGTCCATCCCTTGGTGAGCCAGTGGCAGTGAGCCAGCAGCAGCAGCCTGGCGGTGATGAGATGTCCTAGACCAGATATGTCAAACACAAGACCCAGGGGCCGGATGCGGCCCGCGAAGTAGCTTCATGTGGCCCGCGAAGCCATCCTGGAAACAGTGAGGGAACGGCCCCCGCTGCCTTGGCCCTGGCCCAGGCCGGCCGGGAGCCAATGTACAATTTTGTGGTGGCCATTTATGCTGAAACGCATTCAGTCTTAGCTCCACAAGGCCATCTGGAAACAGTGAGGAACCAGCCCCTGCTGTGTCGGCCCCGTCCCCTGGGTGCCTGCTGGGGAGGTGTCACCCTTTGTGAGGAATGAAAAAATGGACCATGCCTTGGTGCTTGCCCTGGTCCCACCCCCTTCTGCCAGAGACCCTCAGATCTGTCCCACTCCTGCCCAGGCCCCCACAGGCACCCTTGACGCGAACGATGTAGAGCTGGCCACGCCCACCCAGTAGGCCACACCCACTCCATCCACGCCCACCCAGTAGGCCGCACCCACCCTGGCCACACCCACCCGGCCCCCCTGAGGGCAACCGCAATGCTGATGCGGCCCTCAATGAAATTGAGTTTGACACCCCTGTCCTAGACACACACACACACACCTTAAAACCCAAGTAATAGCATTTTTCTCATTCAATGAGAAACCGGACTCTTGTTTCCGTTCATCTGCATGTTGATGCTTAATTTAGAATTTGCAAGAATTCTTTGGCTACCAAAGAAGGAGAACACCAAGAGAGTTGCTAGAACTCTAATAAAGCTTACAAAAGATTTATTAAGAAATTGCCCCTAAATATTTACAACATCAGGAGGACACGGCCTCAATCAGTCTGGTGAGCCCTGACAAAGGGGAAAGTTCATTTCCAAAGAGAGAAGCAACCTAGAACTAAGGAGAAACTTCCTGACAGTGAGAACAATTAACCAGTGGAACAATCTGCCTCCAGAAGCGGTGAATGCGCCAACACTGGAGGTTTTTAAGAAGAGACTGGACAGCCATTTGTCCGAAATGGTATAGGGTTTCCTGCCTGAGCAGGGGGCTGGACTAGATGACCTCCAAGGTGCCTTCCGACTTTATTATTATTATTATTATTATTATTATTATTATTATTATTATTATTATTATTATTATTATTATTATTATTATTATTATTTCCTCACTTTCCCACCCTTTGGACTCCTCACTTTGGTTCTAGGATAACTAACAAAGGGAAATCAATATTTGTATTTACATTCATTGGAGAGAAAGGGATTACAAGAGAGTAACCAAGCACACAGTGGAGAATTCACATTGAAAGAAATGTCTTGGCTTCTGTTCCCAACGACTTAGGATACAAAAGGAAGGCTTTGGGATCAAATTGATTTAGGATCATGCCAGTTTCAGATAGTCCCAGGTGCTAATTAACTAATCAAGGTTGCAACGATGAGCTAGCTTGCAGGGAAGAACAACATGCATGTAAGGAAAAGCAGTTTAGGAAGAGATAGCTTGGCCAAGCAATCTCTTCTTCTTTCTGCAAGGGAGGAATTTTTTGGGGGGAGGGGGAGGAAGGGAGAAGAAAATACAAAAAATACAAGTTAAGGCACAGGAGGACAACTCTGTAACAGGGCTTTTCAGCTTTTTCACCCATTGTGCCACTTTTAGGATATGGTAACATCCGAGTACCACCAGTCACCTAGCAAGGTGTCAAAAACTTGATGACCAAAAAAAAAAAAAAAGGAAAAAAGTGATAAAAGTACAGGTAGTCCTCGACTTACAACAGTTCGCTTAGTGACTGTTTGAAATTACAATGGCACTGAAAAAAGTGCCCCCCAAGCTACAACTGAGCAAAACAGCGCCCAGCTGCGCTCTTCCTCCTGTCCGAGGTTTTCATTGTTGTGAGCATTTCTGTTGAGGATTGGCAGCGGGAATGGGGTGAGGGGGGTGTTTGGTTTTTATTCCCCCCCCATCTGCTGGGTGGTTGCAGCAGGTTTTGGTCACTTCACATGACCCTGGGACACTGTGACCGTCATAAATATGAATCAGTTGCCAAGCATCTGAATGTAAATCACAAGACCCTGGAGATGCTGCAACATTCCAGCTGATCGGCGCTTCTTCTGGACTCAGCAGAAGCATCAGGATCAGTGCTGCTTTCCAGCTGATTGGTGCTTCTTCAGGGCTCAGCAGAAGCACCAGGATCAGCGCCGAGCTCCAGCTGGAACCTGGAGCTTCCACTGAGCCCTGACAGCCCCGAAGAAGCGCCGATCATCTGGAAAGTGGCACTGATCCTGGCGCTTCTGCTGAGCCCTGACAGCCCTGCAGCTCCAGCCATCTCTCGCTCAGGCTTGTGCGGTGCTGCCACCGGTTCAGCTCATTCCCCTTCCCCGCTACCACTTTTCTAGGATGGTCGCGTACCACCTGCCAGGTGCCAATGTACCACAGGTGGTACCCGTACCACTGGTTGAAAAGCCCTGATCTATAACTGCTGTTTGGAGAGATGTGTCTGGAAGTCTCTTCCCGTGTCTGCTTAGCCAAAGCAGCCGATGGTTGGGAAGGTTAAACAAGAGCTGGAGTGAAACCGTTCTTCTCTTTTCCTTTCTCCAAAGGAAAAAGCCTACAAGCAAACCTCGGTGGTGGAGCAGATGGCAGTACACTTCTCTCTTTGTGGGAACCTGATCTTCAAAGATTCGGATGAGGGTCGCAGACAGGGCATGAGAGTCAGTTCGTCTGGTAGGTTTAGTCCTCAGCAAGTCAGGCTCAGCAATACTTATTCTGCATTTTGGAAAGGCCAGGTCTGTGTATGTATGCCGTAGATCAGAGTGGCAAACTTTTGGATACTCTTTAAACTTGGTTATTTTCTTGCAGACGTTTCATTACCCAACTAGATAACATCATCAGTGCTAGAAGGGAGTGGGGTTTGTGGGGAGGAGGAGGAAGAGGAGGAGGAGGAGGAGGAGACGGAGACAACAATCTTGGTACTCTTTAAGCTTGGATGATTTCTTGCAGATGTTTCATTACCCAACTAGATAACATAAGTGCTAGAAGGGAGTGGGGTTTGTGGGAAGGAGGAGGAGGAGGAGGAGGAGGAGGAGGANACTAGATAACATCATCAGTGCTAGAAGGGAGTGGGGTTTGTGGGAAGGAGGAGGAGGAGGAGGAGGAAGAGGAGGAGGAGGAGGAGGAGGAGATGGAGACAACAATCTTAGTACTCTTTAAGCTTGGCTGATTTCTTGCAGACGTTTCATTACCCAACTAGATAACATCATCAGTGCTAGAAGGGAGTGGGGTTTGTGGGAAGGAGGAGGAGGAGGAGGAGGAGGAGGAGGAGGAGGAGACGGAGACAACAATCTTGGTACTCTTTAAGCTTGGCTGATTTCTTGCAGACGTTTCATTACCCAACTAGATAACATCATCAGTGTTAGAAGGGTGTGGGAAGGAGGAGGAGGAGGAGGAGAAGGAGGAGACGAAGACGACAACCTTGGTACTCTCCAAGCTTGCCTGGCTGGGGAATTCTGGGAGTTAAAGTCCACCCCTCTTAAAGCTGCCAAGGTTGACAAACAGTGCTTCAGGTAGATGCTATTCCACAGAGCAGTCACTACCACCGAGAAACAGGAAATGTCTTTGACACAAAGGAATTGGTTATAAGGCAGGCCGAATGGAAAAATCAAGATGACAAAGTGTTTTTCCGGGACACGTTCGGATTCCTCCAAGTCACAGTGCGTACCGTAGAGTCAGGATGTGACAACTACGCTCAGATCTAAGAAACCGAGGAACACTGCCAAAGGCAGCGGATGGGAAAAGGGAGACTTCTACAGAAGAGATGATCCAGCAGGAAACCTGGCGCCAGCCAGAAGCCAAGAATGAAAAACAGCCAGTGACTAAGAGAATCTGAGAGAGACTAGCAGAATAACAGAGCTGGAAGGGACCTTGGCGGTCTTCTAGTCCAACCCCCTGCTCAGGCAGGAAACCTTATAACATTTCAGGCAAATGGTTGTCCAATCTCTTTTTTGAAAGCCTCCAGTGATGAAGCACCCACAACTTCTGGAGGCAAGTTGTTCCACCGACTAATTGTTCTCACTGTCAGGAAATTACTCCTTTGTTCTAGGTTGTTTCTCTCCTTGGTTAGTTTCCATCCGTTGCTTCTTATCCTGCCCTCAGGTGCTTTGGAGGATAGGTTGACCCACTCCTCTCTGTGGCAGCTGCTCAAATATTGGAACACTGCTATCATGTCCCCCCCCATATCCTTTTTGTTAAACTAGACATACCCAATTCCTGCAACCATTCTTGATCCTCCTCCTCCTCCTCTCTGTAATTCCCAATCTTTCCAGCACAGATGTTCCCTAGTTGAGGAACGAAACTTCTGCAAGAAGAAGGTATAGTATAGGGGGTACCTTGCTCAATAGTAGTAACTGTGAGAGGGACCTCGGAGTCCTAGTGGACAATCACTTAAATATGAGCCAGCCATGTGCTGCAGCTGCCAAAAAGGCCAACACAGTGCTGGGCTGCATTAACAGAGGGATAGAATCAAGATCACGTGAAGTATTAATACCACTTTACAATGCCTTGGTAA